TATATATATATATATAAAATACTACTTATATTATATTTTACTAGATGCCCAGCACTGGCCAGTGTTGTGTCCGCTGGTTTGGGGGCAGGTGCTCCTGTGCGTTGTGTCTCTCTGATTGACTTTTAAACTATTGAACCAATCTTGCATTTCTGGGGTGAATCCCACTTGGTTATGGTACATAATCTTTTTTTGTATATTGCTCAAGGTCAGATCTTTCATGAGCCTGTGCACAGCCTTACACGTGTGTGGTCTTCTAGATTTACAGGCATATGTTAGAACTTTTCAAACTCCCTGTGGATATCAGTAGATCCCCTCTGAAGCATTTCGGTCACCTTCCTTTTTGCCCTGTTACTGCCTCTCCAGGCAGTAGAGATGTTAAACAATTGGCACTATTTTCAATGCCAGGCATAAGGGTGGCAGAATAGGCAGTACCCAGTGGGTGAGTTCTGAGGTCAGAGAGAGAAAAGTCCTGTGACTGGCATTTTCCAGGGGAACTGTCAAGTGATGGCAGTTACTTGGGAATGAGACTTGGAAGGAGCTCCAACCCCATTCTGTCAGTCTTGCATAGTGGAAGATTAGTCAGGTTCACAGTTCTCCTAAATGCAATGGAGATAATTGCCCAGATTTCGGGTAGCAGTGTTGGAAATGGAGAGGAACCTTCTAACCTTATTTCATCAAGAAGGAATTGCCAAATATATTTACAGTGTAGCTATTTAATACAACATTTTAAAAATTTCCGACGACTAAAGTTCACTACGTGTTTATTTGTAAAATATAGAAAAGCACAAATACACATAAAAGACATAAATTATGCCGAAACCAGTTTGGCTCGGTGGATGGAGCGTCGGCCTGCGGACTGAAGGGTCCCGGGTTCGATTCCGGTCAGGGCCATGTACGTGGGTTGCGGGCACATCCCCGGTGGGGGGTGTGCAGGAGGCGGCTGATCGATGTTTCTCTCTCGTCGATGTTTCTAGCTCTCTCTCTCCCTTCCTCTCTGTGAAAAATCAATAAAATATATTTAAAAAAAAAGACATAAATTACTTGGAAACACCTGTTAAAGAAGGAATATTTTCCCTAAGTATTACGTTAAAATAATATTAACTTTTGTGAAAAGAGAGCCTTGGATATGAAATTTTCAATGGACTTATTTAAATAGTTAATAAATTGATGCCATACTACTTTAAACTGGTAATGAATTTTATTCTTTTTTCTTCTTTCCAGGTAGATGCACGGAGCATACCAGTATTAGCAAAATGGCAAAATTCATATAGCATTAAAGTTGTACTTCAAGAACTAAGACGTCTAATGATGTCCAAAGAAAATATGAAGCTTCCACAGCCACCAGAAGGACAAACATACAACAATTAATTTTAGTGGATCTCAAACTTGTCTTAAATCAACAATCTTCTACTCATGTTAATGTCTTGATTAAATATCACAATGCAAAATACCCACACATTAAGTAAAAGAATGCCAGCTGGTAAATATGACCTGGACATTTATAAGAATATATTTAATATATGTATACACATTATGTTTTCAGGTAACAGGAGGAAAAATGCAGCACAATTTTTTTAAAGCACTGTCATTTAAACATAAATCTGGTGTATTCAAAACAGAATTCAGGTTTGCAAGATGAAAGTATGGTGATTTTTACTTAAAGTAAAAATCCCAAGAAAGAAAAAGAAATGGCATGCTTTCTCCATCTTGCTTAGCGAAAGAGCTTCAATTTAAATTGTCTAAAGTAGCAGGTACAATGAACATTGTCTCAAATTGTTTTAATTTTTGAAGTGGTGTGGGTGCTGACTACCAGTAGTATAAAAAATATGTTCAGGATTGTTTTCATATCTACATTTATAATAAAAAAATGTCATGGGGAAGGTCAATGAATTTCTGTTAAAAAGCTGTTTCTGTGTGTTACATGTAAAAGATATGGTAAATATTTGTTTACAGTCTTTGACAAACCATGCATTTAAGTTGAAATGAAATCAACAAAAAGGAAATAGGTGAATGGATATGTGATTTTTGAGATTAAAGTTAGTCTTAAAATGTAAATAAAATGTGGATTGTGTTCTCAGAAACTGTGCCATTTCTATTATATTGATGTGGTATATGGACACTACCTTGCTGAGGTAGCAAAGATTGGAATTGTAGGTTTTCATCCATATAAAAGTTTTTATTGTTTATCATGTTTTGTATGCTTCTTGTAAATTGGAATTTGCAGAGTATTTTAGAGAACAAATTACTTGATTCGTTTAATTTCTTCTTTGCAGAAGGAGGAATCCCAAGTATTATATTTTGACTTTGATTTCACCAGAAATGTATTTAAAAGATGTTTGAATTTTAGCAATTTTTATAGAATTATAGATTGTAATTATCCAAATATACATTCTATTTTTGATTCATAACCTTTTTTTTTGGTGACATTTTTTTCTCCCAATGCTTTTATTACTGACTGGGATTAATTTATCCATTCCACTTGTCTTTCACTTTGGCATCTGTGTAATTCTGAACTGATGTTCTGCTTTTACCAAAGTGAGAGGTTTTAAGTAATTGTTTTTCATTTCAAAGCCCTAGGTATACTACTTTGTTGAAAATACTCTTTTCTTATGGGTTCACTGCACAAAATAGAAAGGTGGTCTGGTAACAAGGACAGATTTCTTAAACAGGCCCTGACATGTTTTTGTCAGGTTCATTCATATCTAAAGCTTTGAGCTACTTTCCTTAGTCATTAATGATAGTTTGTCTAAACTTTTAATTTCAACATGGCTATTCTATTTTAATTATCAGTGATGTTTAAAATGACATAGAGAATATATCGATACAAATTAGTGCATGTGTAATTTATTAAAATAGGTTTGAAATGAACTATTACCTTGGAATACATTCTGAAAACTTTTAAATTGTTAAGGGAGATTAAGTTGAATTACACTGATGTCATACACAGGAGTCTGATGGTTACTGATGGTCTAAGTCATTCTCTTTAAAAACTTCTTTTCCACTTTGAAAATGTGTCTTATCATACATGGGGGCTGAATGCTGTTAAATTATTCATACATTGGTGGGCTGAGAATCTGAGTACCTTGATCTTGTCCTCTTTTCTTTCCCCATATCCACTAATTGTGAAGGTTTTTCTGTTGTTTTCCCTCCCTCAAGTATATGTTTGAGTTGGCCCTGTAATGTTTGTTTCCCCTTTTTGTTTTGGGAAG